AGAGTAGGGTGGTTGAGGTTACTGAGGAAAGACCACAAAAACGTGCTGCACGTCAGTGCAGTATATGTGGAACAGTTGGGCATACTGCCCGTACATGCTCCCAGCGTACAAGAAATAGTTCTTAATGTAATTAGATGATTTCTCTATATAGTTGTGGTGAAATTTGACTGTGAAGCTGTATGATGGTGGGGAAGTGTCCGACTAGGCCATTTGTCCGACTAGGTTATAGATCACGTTATGAGCAATAATGATTAGATAATTATTATTGTGTCATTTCGATGGAGTAAATAAGGTTGCGCGTCGACTGCTTCCCTTGGTCCTCAAACGATGCCAGGAGAAACCGATTAGAGTAGTAAACAGCTCATTGATTTCCTGTAGGTTGTATATAGATTGCATCTGCAGATAGGTTCAACAAGATATGCCAGTATTCTGCCATCAAGTCGAAAGGAAGAGAAGGGTACAGTTTATCTCTGTCCAAACTCTTGTGTACTGCGTACCGTACAAGGCTATCGGTTAAAAACGGTAAAGACATGTCGTGACGGGTAACAGGACATACGCCGGACCCGGCTGTCAGGTGCCCACCGGACCGACCAATTCCGACTTTCCCCAAACGAACTGGCGCGGCGCATGGATTCCTCGCGTTTCGACTCTGCTGTCGTGCGTTCAGACGCCCACCTGCGGGGCCATGACATCAAGCAGCCCTCTCAATCTGCGTCCTCGAGTCCAGCTGTGCAAAGGATTCTGCTCTGCAGCAGCTGATGCGGTCTCCTGAAGGGCCATTGCCCCAAGAAATACCTCTCAGAGCGGCCAATCCTTCAAGAGATTCCGGCAGAATACGAAGATCGACATCCCGACCGCCTGCGCGTTTCGACGATCCCTGTTTCCCAGAGACGAAGACGGCCATGACAGAGGTGGCGCAAAGTCAAGACGTCGCCAGCTGAACCCAGAAGGCAGGCTTTATACCCTAGGCAGTTAGGCAGGGCCTGAGGCGGTCCCTAGCGACTGCAGTGGCGTCTGTCTGCCAATTTATTTCTCCCAGCAGCAGTGGTCGCCAAGGCTTTTAGGCGTTGCGATCCCGAGAGCCGCCAGGCCCACGGGGTCCACTGCCCACAGGGCTCTCCATCGCCGGCTTCCGATCTCCAAGCCACACCAAGCCGTGCACAGCGGCCCCCGAGTCATCTCGCAGCATGCGAACAGCTGAGCCAGTGATTGTCGCCGCTGATAGGCCTTCTTCCACGCGCATAACGCATTGCGTCGGCACGGTTCTTCGGTACAGAGTACAGAATTGACAGTGACAGTGGAGCCGGGCTCCTTGTGCCGTCCACGAGGAGCTTGCGCAGCACAGATAAGATGGCTTATATTGATTAATTACACTAGGCCCGTCCCGGCGAGGGAGTGAGAGATGGGCCCCTCACAATATACAGAATGCTCGCGTCTGATTTGCGATCTGCTTCACGCGCGGTATGGCTACCCCAGCTCCAGAAGAGCGGTACTCCACCCAGGGCAGGCAATCCTTCAGTGTTGCATGGCGGCACCTATCGCAACCGCGATTGCCAGCGCATGGTAGGTGCTGACAACTGCGCACGCACGCCCTATCCGGGCACGTTTCCCACCATCGCGGCTTCCACAGTCACTGACGGACAGGAAAATTTTTCTCCTGCAATCATCAGCCCAGGGACGGTCCTCCTATTAAACCCTGCTCTCTCCTGGCCATCAGCGGGATTTTCCAGTTCACTGCCCCTTCACCACTGATTCCTTTCAGCAGCTGTGCTTATCTGTCAGATACCCCATGCTGTCCTGTCCCCTCCTCCGCTGAACTGCCGCCATCCTTGTTGACCACTATCTCGCAGTGTCGAGCCTGCTTTTCCCACTGCGTGATATTTGGCATACCCCCAGAACTCTGAGCGATATCAACAACCGGACACGCAGCCCTTCTGACTTTTTTTTGTGT